AACCCGCGAGTCCATTTTCAATTTTGCAAGTTTATGAATCCTAAGTTTCCAGAGCATCAGCCATTCAAGGGCAGTTTACTATTTAGCCGTTCCTCGTATCTGCAGTCTACTCAGACGGGCATAATTGTTTGTTTGTCGGCTTGTTTGTTTTCAAAGGGATAGTGTTTAAAGGGACACTAAATATAAACAGAGAGTTCTTTTAGATCGATAAACTTCACCCTAAGAGCTCTAATACTATAGACATGTTTCACTGTCATAAGTTCGTTAATAGCAAACTAAATCAAGGTTGAAGTTTCACTTTTAAATTTCGTGCCATAATCTTCGCGCGTGACATAAGAAATTCCACAATGTATTTTTTGTAGTTTTGCGACATTGGCTCGATGAAATTTTCTGAGACTTCATTTTTTAAGTCTATGGCACCGACATATTACAATGTATTTCAATTTTATCGATTAGGTGCTACATAGGACCCAGTAAAAACCTTCCAAATTGATGACGTCAGAGTGTTTGGTGCGGGAGTCTACACCCACAGGTTTTTTTTTTTTTTCACGCGTTTTCTCGCTTCCCATGTATTGTGTCGCGGTAAGAATGGTGTTTTCGACATTGCGAAATAGTACCTTGCTAATACGCGAAGAAGTGTTTTGCTCTTTAGTGTGCCTTTCACTGTTTCGGATGTTATGAACTTAAGTCATGAAACGGAAAAACGAACTGATAGTTGGACCATCTCCCGCTAACAACAACGAGTTTCCTAAAACAAAGTAAAGCAGTTCATCGCGCACAATAGACAAGGCAGAACGGACGTGCACCTGCATGGCAAAACAGGCTACGTGAAAATTAACAACAGATATCTCTCGTGCATCGACCAATCGAAAACTTATTTCATCCTGACACCACGTGAACCAACTGCTGGAGTCACGAATTGTGAAGCAAAGACAGCAGACGCCGGGAGACGCCAGAATAGGATAATGCTCTCGTTCTTTGGTCTGTTCCAAGAAGGTTTAAGAGCCCTCTAAAAAAATTAAAGGGCAAAGCGTGATCAGCTATATCTGAGCCCACTTTCTAGCTTAACCTCAATACTTACATGTCGTGGGCAAAGATACCAGGCACGAACAGAAATCCCGCGTGGGAAATTAGAATGTAGAGAAGCTTCATGGCCGCTGCAGCATGCAGAGCTCCTGGCATCACGAATGAAGGAAACCGTTAAAGGACGGGATGTGTACGTTTGCACAAACGATTTATCGCGTGAGCCCTGCTGAGAGAATGGTTACTATTCCAAGCTGTTTTTGCGAAGAGGTCATCGCTGCCTGTGCAGATAATGCCGCTAAGGAAACAATACGCCGTTATCACTTCATAATCATAAAACACGTAAATCGCTTTTTTTTATTGTTCCGACACGGCAAACCGGAGTGTGGCCGCATCGGGTAACTTCCGTCCTTCTTAGCGAGCGCCTGCACTGGCCACTAGACCCCATTGGCAACTGCCGCCATAAATGTGAAGATAACACTTCCTTATCATTGTCCCGTCTAACGTTCTTACAAAGGAGATGTGTCCACCGTGTAAAATAACGCGTAGGAGTGTAAAGAAATGTCTACGTTCTTTTTGTTCAAGCCTCCGTTACAGACAGATATTGCTGAAAAAATATACCATGCCGAGCAGAGGCTGAAAAAAACCTTGCGATCACATGTAAGAAAACGCATACATCCAGGACACGCGACCAACTTGAACTACGCGATAGGAAGTTGAGACACGAACATGAGCACCTTGTTGATTGGTGCCTGGTGATGAGCTTAGTACTGTATTTTGTTTCAAGTTTCTCTGGTATTATACAAAATAATTGCAAGCATGGCACATGCGCACGCAAGGTACATGATCACCAATAATAGCAGTTAGCATGAACGATGCCTACTCATTGTACCAGAGACCACTACTTTGGATGCGTGAGAAGCGTTACTCAAGGCCTGAGTTGTCCGCCGTGGTGGAGAAGTGGTTATCGTGATCGGCTGTTGACCGGGCTGAAGGTTGCAGGTTCGATACTGGCAGTGGCGGTCATTTTTATTGCAGGCGAAACACCAGAGGCTCTAACCTTGTAGCCACCACAGTGGTTGGATGGAAAATAGGAGAGAGAGAAGGAGGAGGATAGAGAGGGAGAGGTTTATTTACAGAAAGGCAGAGAGGTCGGCAAATATGAATTTCACCATGTGCTCCGTAAGAGGCCACTCAAGCTGCTGGCCAAGTAAAGGAACTTTTTGATGAATGCTAGCCAAATGACGAAGTGCCGATGCCTCAGTTTACAGTAACAGTCTACGCTGAAGCATCCCTTAGACAACGCCCAAATGATAATGAGCCTTCTCTGGTCACCGACCTTTGCGTAACTAAGTGGTCTCGAGTTTGTTTTTTTTTTCACTCATAATGTATTAAACTAATTTTACATCATTGCTTGATGCGAAGTTTACGAAGAATGTAAGTTTTTAAATTATATTTTACTTAGAACTGTGCGAATAGCAAAATTTTAGGTGCGACGTGATTCGGATATTTCAGTGTAAGTGCGAATCGAATATTTTTAAAATATTTATCTAAGAATTCTAGCATATTTTTGAATGCTTCAAAGCGATATTCCAGGAAAAAGTTGGAGAGGATTCCAAAGCCTATTCTTATGACATAGCAACATAACTTTTTTTTTTTATAGCTACGCTGTAGGTTGATGAAGGGCGGGGGATGAAGTGCTGTTTTATAGTTGTGTTATCAAGATTGAGGCAGTGCTGAGGCCGAAGCGTATTTATATGTAGCACTTGATTTGCTGTAATCACAGTGTTCCCGACAACACTGTACACGGGAAAGGCAAAGATGTTATTTGTTCCGCTCTCAACTTCTATGGAAGCCCAACGGACAAGAGTGAGGTCCCTTCAGGTCCGGAGTTTCAAATATGCCTCGTAGACGTCATAATAAAATATGAAAATTTGGATGCTAGAAATCATCGATGTTCAATTTATGAACTTTCTGCCGAAAACTCACGTCTAACAGATCAATTGTTGAACCCCCAACTCTCAGCCACATCTATCATCTTCATTTTGAAGCAGAGCCCTGAGAGAGAGCTTTACCGCAATACAAAGTGTAATGGGGCGAAACATATCAAGAATCTGAAGGGACCACTGTTAATATGATGTTGACTGTATTTGTCTTCGGGATGTTAGTAGAATAGCAGGTATAATAAAACTACAGTGCGAATCGAATAGCAAACAGTATTCAAAAGTATTCGTCGCGTACCCCCAATTTTCCTTGCTTGATATGATGCAAAGGGCAAAGTACACCTTGACGGAAAGCTTAATACCTGGGAATTTTGCAAATATATTACAACGTACGTGAGTTGATAGATTCCTTAGCGATAAATTTTAAATATGTCCACATGAGCAAACACAAGAGTAAAGGAAGTGAGGAGAATTGTGAATCGGAGGTTCCTATAGAACGCAGTAATTAAGTAATTTAATTGGGAGTGCCTACTCACCGAAAACGTGCGTCGGCACGCAGCAAGCGACATATCGCAACATCGACTACATAGAGCACGAACATTCTGACTGCATAGTACGCTACTCTGGTATATCAATATGAGCATGCACGTTGCATGTTTTTTCAAAGGCTTCATTTTCGTTTATTCTTACAATAATTAATGCATATACAGGTATCTGGACTGATAGCCTGGATCCCATCCAGTGTTGATAATAAGCACACAGGTCAGTGCAATATTTCACAGATAGGTATAAAATTACATATCCTAATAATCAAACAAATGAACAATGGTTTTCACGGAGTGCACCCGAATAGTTATTGCAGATACAGTGTCTTGGTTCGCAAGAACAAAAGAATTTACTCCACTGCTGTATATTCTGTGCTCAAGGTCTGTCGTCCCACCCTTGCGAGACGTCAATTATTATTTTTGTATTCACTTTGATATTCGCAGATAACGGGCTACAGAAGAAAGACGAAGAGTCAGCACCTGTTATCTGATACAAGCTCGTGATGCATCGCCCAGTGCCGAGAAATGCACGTGTGTCACTATGGTTCATCTATTATGGGCCATTTGCCAAGTTATGGGCCAGCGGCGTATTAGGAGGAGGGTGGCACACCGGGCCCGTATCCTCCTCTCTCCGCAGGCGCGTAGCCAGAAATTTTTTCGAGGGGGGGGGGGGAGAAGCACCATTTTGATTTTGGGAGGAGCACCCCCTAAAATAGTAAGATTGCAGGCAACTACCTTTTGTTTCTCTACTGCTTGTTCTGCCTCGTGAGCAGGCTCGGCCGGCGCTCGACAGGATGCCAGAGGGCTGCTGGCCTTCAACAAAAGTTTCCAATCGTCCTTGGTCAACTAACAATCTGTGCCCTCGACGAGCTCATCAGTTAACGCGCAGAGTAGGTCGACGTTCTGAGGCTCCGTAACCTCTCGCGGGCTATTTAATTTGACCGGTAACGTAGCTAGCCTTGCCTCGATAGTTTTACCGAAAGCGGACACCAATCTTACCGTGCCAGACGGCTCTACAACACTTCGCGGAAGCAGACTCTCCCGGATGACGGTTATCTCACTCCCCGTATCCAAAATCGCATCTGCGGATATGCCTGCACAAGATACAGGAATTAACTGCAGTTTATCTGTGCATTCACCCTCGTGTTTCAGAGACTTCACCTTTGCGCTAAGTACTCCCGTAGGTATTTCAGTATCCGTCACGTGGGATAACGTTACCTTTTGAACCTTCCGCTTTGGCTTGGTAGCCTTCTTGGGGTTGTTCTCCTTATCACTAGCCTTCGGGCACTCTTTAGCGAAATGGCCTGAGCCGTGACATAAGTGGCATTTCAGAGCCCCTTTCTCAACTCGTGTCGCCGGCTTCTGCCCCATTTCTACAGTTGGTTGCTTTGAAGCACGCCCTTTTCCTTTCGCTTGTTCGAAAGTTTAGAGCACTTTCGCGATCTCAGTTGGCCTAAGCCATCCCTCGCCTTCCCTTAATCTCACATACTCAAGACCGTCCGTACTAAGGCCCGATTTTATGCGGTCAGCAACCATGAGTTCTGCCATCACTTCTACCGAGTCGGCTTCTCTCACTTGGAGGTAGTACGAGAAATAAGTTTTCACGCGGGACGCGAACTGTGCCCACGTCTCTTCCTTACGCTTTACGGCTCTTTCGAACCTCTGCAGGTACTCTGCCGGAGAAAGCTTCAGTTCCGTCAGCACTGCTGCTTTAACTGACTCATAGTCTGCACTCTCTTCAGGGTTGAGGTTACGCAGTAGGTAACGGACTCGATCAGTTAGCGCTGACATAACTAAATGCACGCGGCTCTCGTGCGGTATTTGGTAAGTAGCAAAAAGTTTTTCTACTTCCTCAAACCACAATGGGACATCCGCGTCACTCGGCAGGCGGAACCCTTTAAGCACTTTTGCACATTGCTGAACGGAATCGAAACCCCGGCGCCTCTGATCACCGTCTCCGACCCAGAGTTGGACAACGTGCCATTGAGACGTTCCGCATTCATTCTAGCCTGCAATAAATTTTCGTACTGAATCTGAAGATTGAGTTTTTGAATTTCAAGCTCGAGCGTTCTCGCTTCGCTTGATTTCGGCAAAACCTGAGATGCCTGCTGCATCGATTGTTGCCTCTGGGTAGGCACTGTCACCTCATTTGACTGATCAGAATTTTGAATACCATCATTGGATGGTTCTCGACTCCGATTCACATCTGCCGCACTCGTACCCTCATCTTCATTAGACTACATTGTTTTAGCACCCCCGCGTGTTCTCACCATGTGCTCTACACATAAACTGCCATGCCAACTAGAGAAGCACGCAATAAATCCTGCTCACCCTTTGCTGTATGCACTGTCGTTCCCGGATCTCCTCCACGGTGCCGGAGTTGGCTGCTGTGGAAGCGTCTCGACTTTGCCGCTGGTGGCTGTTGGATGCCTTGCCCCTCGGTCCTCTCAGCGCTGGTCCAGTGTATGGTGCTGCAGAGCTCGCCGATCCCTGTCGACTGCGCCAGTTAAGTTTTCCTTCTCATTCGTTGATCTCCTTGATGTGGATTGAAGTCCCGTCAAGAAGATGATCGGCGTCGATGAAGCAGGAGGCAGGTTGGAGGTAATGAAAACTTGAAGGTATATTACAGCGAAATATTTACAGTCATATGTACATCTTGCCGAAGCACACTCATGATAACACAGACATCAACAGCGTCTTACTCCTCTACTTAACTTTTCTTAAGTTAGAGCCTAGAACACTGTTACTACATACAACGTACTTAGTCTCACTGTTCGACCACCAAGTGGTTACGGCCCAGACAAAAGTTGCATCGTACGGAGTCGTACTGATCTATCAGTTAAGTGATTGCAGCCTCGACTGAAGAGAAACGGATTCCCTCCAGTCTTAAGCATCTTGCCGTCGTCGGCCCGGTCCCCCAATTCATATCAAAAAGGTGCCCCCTCCCCTCTCCTGAACCACTGCTATATGAGCGTGCAATGCAGTGAAATTTGTTTAATATGGAGTCTACATCATAAATCTGTATGCTATGCAGTGCCCCTGCAGTTTGCTCCGCTAAGGGGCACCCGAAGTGGAGCTCGATCATGTTTGAGCTACGGCCATAGTGCTAGCTGTTCACATCGTGCTTCAAGTGAAGGAAAAAAATGAGAGCACCTGTGCTGCGCCCCCATATCCACACTGCACTCTAAGGCAAAATTTTGTTAAAAGGGGGTCTGGTTCGTCTTTTGGGGACTAATGGGGCTGCCACAACCATTAATCCCTTTAAAAACTTACGACACCGGGTCCAACAGTTAGTCTCCAAAGACTAGCTCAAGGGACTAACATTTAGTCCTCACATTTACATCTTAGTGAGTAACCATTAGTCCCACAACTCACCTCGAAGGACTAACATTTAGCCCTCACATTTGCACCCTATAGGGCAACTGTTAATCCCCACATTTACACCTTACCGGGCAACCATTAGTCTTCACAGTTGCACCCCGCCGGATGAACGGCTGATCCACTCAAATACTCCAATCGGATGAACTTTTTATCCCCAGTTGAAACATTGTTTTTTTTGTTTATTTTCCGCCAGGCCTAATACTTTTTTCGCCTGTTTTTTCGCGCAGTGAGCAACAAATTGCGCGGAAAAGAACACGAGAAAAAGTAGTTAGCCACCTATGTGTAACTGCTTTCGCCGTCACGGCAACAACGAAATACAAAAGTGAGACATCGAAATCTTCCATTTTTCTACATCACATGAAGTTTTTCCGTTCTTTTAAGTAAATTCATGGTGAAGTTTACAAGTCCATTTTCGTCGTCACTTCTTGTTTACTCCTTGTGGAGCTCCTCCGACGGAAGCGATAAATGACAGGCATTGCAGACGCCAGCGCACGCAGCCTTCTGCCTATTGTGTTCCCACGGCTGTACGTACAATAAAATAGTAAAAATAGTTAAACACACGTGACAGAAGATGACGATGCACGCATATGACAAGTACGTGCAATTAATATAAAAAACATGCGTGTAAACTATGACACACAAATAACTTTACCTTCACATCACGCACAGTCATTCTGAAGCTGCTCTGACGAGAGAGATGGATGACAGGCATCGCAGACGCCAGCGCACACAGCCTGCAACATGGTGTGTGCCCACGGCTGCACAATAAGTATGTAAAATAGTGAGTCACACGTGACAGAGGATGAATACGAATGCATATGAGAAATACGTGCAAGGTGAAATAACAACATACGTGAGATATGACATGCTAATAATTTCACCGTGATGTCACACATCGTCAAAGACTCATTTTGATCCCCGTAGCGTAACAGCTTAGGAGCGGCAGCCGCAGCCACAACTCCGCGTGCCGTCGTGCGCCAACAAGCCGGGCAGTTCTAAGCGAGCGACGTCGTTCAGCTCGAGCAAGCGAACGCGAGACCAAACACGGCGCTGCACGCGGAGTGTCTGCCTCCAGCAAACTTCGAACGGGAGAGCGAGCGTACGCTTGGCCGCCGCCACGATGAGCGCTGAGCTACTTTGGCGCTAGCGCCGAAGTAATCGACGGTAATGCGGCCCTTTTAGGGGTGAAACATGGAAGTTTATTGCAAACTGGTTACAACATTTCAGGTGAGTACAGCTGTCTGGTGTAACAAAATCACTTCAGTGGCGTGTACAAACAAGATAACATAGACAGGATGTAACACACAGCACTTCCAATATTCTCACAGATCACGAATCACTCAAGAAAACAAGGAGAAAAGAAACGCAAAAAACAGTAAATTGGAACAGATTCACATATTACGTGCGACGTGAGGCAATTTTTCCCCCGAGTTAAAACGGTAGTAAAGGAAGTTCAATATTCCCGTTCCGAACTCCAAAAAAACGTGTACTCCACCTTCTGATAAATGCTTCCTCACCCTTAGTTTCAATCTGTTCAGTAAGGTACCGAACCATGATCATTCTAATCTTCTGTAACGCTGGGTATGCAGCTCGTTGGGGTCGTCGCCGTGCTTCGGCCATACAGCGGCGACGCCATAAGACGAACATTGTGACGTACAGTACGAGTTGTTCAAATAAGCCCCTTCTGCGCTGTTGGCTCGAAGGAATTGACACTCCGAATTGATGACGCACGACGTGCCACACGCCTTTGGCCTCTACGCATTCAAACATCGTGTGGCAGATTGTTTCTATTTTCCCGCAGTTGGGGCAGTGGTCATTTGGAACGACGCCCCACTTTGATAGTCATTGACGAGTAAGCAACGCGTCCCATCGCCGCAGCCAATCAAATTCTCTATTTCCGGTACGTGGTTGTTCCACCATTTCTTCCACTTGCTGGGCCTCCATATCTGTTTTTACTCGTCAGTAATTGAGCGACTGATTAACATTTCGCTAATGCATGCGGGTGCGAGCTTTGCAAAGTATTCTTCGGTGGCGTCGCCGTCAACCGAACGCTTGAGGCCCTCTGCTGCCTTATAAAAGGCATGTGGGTGTTCTGCTTGAGGTCCCCGGTACCTTCCGACGCGAATGCAGCTCCAAGAGTTCCGGTTCAATATAGCAATAAGCTACGGCCAGGATAGTCATTGTCCTGAAACAATTTGTGAACTGTTTTAGCTGCAAGTCCTTTTGTGAATGTCGCAACATCTGGCAGACTTAGTCCTTCACAACTTTTAGGGAGCTTCAGGAACTTTTGTTGAACTTTTGGTGTCTTGCCCTCCCATAGAAATGCTCCAACTAATGACGCAAGGCGGCTCGCAAAAAGTTTGGGTATGAGTGCAATGTGCCCGATATAAAAGGCATATGCGCATGCTTTGGTTTTCACCACCGTCAGTTTTGCGTCAAGTGACAAATTGAAGTCAGTGGCATACGCGAAGACCTGCGTGGCTCTATGTACGGCGTCCTCCCAATTTCTTTTGGCCACCTTCCCGTCTTGAAAGTATACTCCGAGGGCTTTTACTGCATCCGCGTATTGAATACCACCCGGCAAAGAGCCGTGGAAGCCACCGAAACGAAGGGCTTTGCTTTTCTCCGCATTCAGGAAAGCACCCGATATACTGGCATGCTCTTCGAACAGCTTCAAGAAAGCGCGGTAACTGGCTTGGCTTAGCACGAACACAGAGATGTCATCCGCATAAGCGGTGATGCTAACTGACTCCAGACCTGTCATTGGAAAGCCATGAATATTAGGGCACTTTGCCACTTTCGTGAGGAGAGGATCTATGGAAAGAACAAAGAGCACCGGTGCGATTGGGCATACCTGGCGAACACCTCTTGCTACTGGAAAGCTTGCTGTCTCCACGCCGTTGATGAGAAGTCGGCTGGTCATGTTGGTGTATAGAAGCTCTATACAGCAAACGTACTGCTCAGGCAAACCAAACATTAAAAGTACGCAGTATAGGTACTCATGTTCGACACTGTCAAAGGCCTTAGCTTGATCCAATGACGCGAAAGCACCGGTAACGTTTTTGGCGTTGGCATATGAACAAATCTCTCATCAGAGTAAGTGTTTGAAAAATTGACTTACTCGGCACTGCACACGTTTGTGTGGGTGACAGTATATCTGGCAGAAATGGTTTGAGCCTCAAGCCAAGGATCGTAGCTACAAGTTTGTAGTCCGTGTTAAGGAGGGTAATCGGCCTCCATGACCGTGGATCATCAGGATTCATGCCCTCCTTTGGCAGCAACACTACACGGCCCTCACTGGAGACCTCGGCTGTTGCCCATCAACAATGAACCCGTTAACCATGTCAGTAAGTGCATCGCCTAGGACGTCGAAGAAAGTTATATAAAACCCCGTCAGTATTCCGTCTCGA